GTGAGAAAGGCAGGGACAACACTGACACTAAAGTTAACTCCGCAATAAAGGATATACCTTTAACTTGCTGGTCTGTCTAATACTTCTCTAAATCTGAACATTCACATTGAGACAGACTAGGAAGAAGGATTGGCCATCCACTTCTGAAATAGCAGGCCTCTGAAAACCCTATGTACAACAGAACACACATACATTTCCCACATTATGTAGTATTTTTTTGAAACCGCTGTTCCTGAGTGCTAGCTACTATTTCATTGTGTGACTGTATCACGATCTCTCAATCCATTTATTGGATGATGGACACTTGGGTTGCTTCCATGTTCTTACATTTGTGAATAGCGCTGCCACGAACATAGTTGCACAGTAAATCTCTGTTGTGTCTCAGCTCTTCCATTGGGCTTGTGAGGCTGTAAATCTTCCCAGAAAAAGACTGCCTTATCCATCTTCCTAACAGCAGCTAGCAGACTCAAACTTCTAACCTTATAGTTAGCAGCCTGCCTGGTATGCAATGCACAATGCAAACCATAGCTCCTTTCTCAGAAGCAGAAACCCTCAAATCTTTTATTTAAGCAAATTTGATGGGGGTTCTGTATTTTATAAAGAACTAACCCTTAAACAAAGCAATGCAAAACTCATTGCTGTAGACAGCTGACCCTCCAGCAGGTTTCAGAGGCTGTAAATCACACAGGAGGAGACTGCCCATCTGTGTCCTGGGGAACAGCTAGCAGATTCAAATTGCCTGCCTTTGGGTTTCCCTACGAGGCCTCCAGAGCTCTCTAAAATACATATGATGAGTTTAAACATCATTTTAAGGCAATGGAGAGTCAACGAAGGCTATGAAACCAAAGTGGATACTAAAATGAAAAGTCAGAACGCCTTACTTTAAAATACATTTCGCTATGATTAGTCAATATTCCCAGAGCAGCAGATCCAAGTCCTGTTATTCTAAGGAGGGATTTGGGTGTAAGAGTGGACTGGCATTGCTGGGCTTGAAGAGACCCAGGGCCACCCACACCCACCTGGTTCGGTAAATTTCCTTCCCTCTGAACAGTGTCCGAGAACTTGGCCCCTCTGGCAAGGCCGGCCTTGTAGAAGCTCTCGCTCTCTCTGGATCTTGTGTATTTAATGAGATTGGTTCTGTTAAAGAAGCAAGAGTTCATGGTGAGGTTGAAATGGTGACATTAGACGCTTCCTGTCTGTCTGCTCACAGGGCCTGTGCTCTTGGGAACAGGAGAGAAGGCTCTTCTCTGTCTGAGACAGCAATGGTTACACAATCGGCTTGGAAATCCCATTTAATAACCATGCAAGAACTCTGTAGTAGCTATACTCATCATATAGAATCCACAAGGATATTAAAAATTACTGTGGATTGACACAGTAACCAGGGTAATGGGGGTAGGGTTGTTGGAGTTAGTGAGACTGGCTCAGGATAGGGCAGAGTTCAGAGCTATTATATATCAAATTGCTGAAAGTCTTCTTGAGACTCGATGGCACGTGACAACAACATCATGAGAAAAAGAATACTTTTCAAATGTTTACGTGAGTAAAGCATTATGTGGAGAAGTATTTTTAGACATATAATCCTTGACCTCAACACTCTTGGCACCAGCAGTCAGGAAATCAAAATATGGATTGCACTGGGAAAATCTGCAGCCAGGGACCTTTCCAGAGTACTGAGAAGTGCGTTGGTGGTATAGTGGTGAGCACAGAGCTGCCATCCAGACTACTGAAAAGCAACGATGTCAGTTTAGAGACTAAGGTGCAGCTGATGCAGGCCATGGTCTTCACAATTACTTGTTGTGAATCAGAGATCTGGACAATGACTAAGGATGGCAGAGGAAGAATCAATGCCTTTGAGTTATAGTGCTAAGAAGAGTACTGAACATGGACTGCTAAGAGAACAAACAGGACTGTCCCGGAGAGGGTGAAACCAGGCTGCTCCTTGGAGGCGAGGATCTTGGTGCTCTCTATCATACTTTAGGCTAGCTCTGCTGGCCTAGCGGCAAGAAGCTGTGCTGCAATCCTGAAGCTATGCAGTTTGAGGCCACCAGCTGCTCCATGGGAAAAAGATGGGCAATCTCCTCCTGTGTGAATAACTGCTTCTCAAAACCCACTGGAGGGTCAGCCATGTCTCGGTTCCAGCTCGTCAGTACACAATAACAACAACAACAACATCATCATCATCATACACTTTGGGCACGTGGCCAGAAGGGACCGGTCCTTGGAGAAGTACATCCTGCTCGGGAGTGTAGGGGGCCGGCACAGGAGAGGAAGCCCCCGGATGACAGGGACTGAGGCAGTAACTGGGGTAATGGGGCAGTTGTGTTGGAGAAAGGGTAGGGTAGGCTTTGGAGCTGATGTACATAGGGTCGCTTCAAGTCACAGGCAACTCAACGGCACATAACAACAACCACCAAAATCCCCAGCCTAACCTCAACACGATGGACTGACACAGTGACTGGGAACATCATGACAGCAGACACAATTCCAAGCAGAAGCGTTCAGGCCTGTTCAATGAAAACATGTTACACCCCTGATAGCAGTTAAAAATCCTCGCAATCTAGAGTCAGAACACGAGTGTTCAGAGCCCAGATCCACTGTGATTGCCCACACAATCCTGGGCAAGCAATTTCTAAACCTGAGCGATCAGATTGGCCGAAGTAAAATGTACGACGAACGTTTTTTGTAAAACGTGAAGCACAGGGGAGCTCTGGTGGCCTAGTGGCAAGGAGCTGCAACTACAATCCCAGAGGCACACGGTTCAAATCCACCAGATGCTCTGCCGGGAAAAGGAGGGACAATCTCCTCCTGTACCAGTCAGACCTGATTTGATGGTACACTCACTCACACACACACAAAAAAAAAAATTAAAAAAAAAAGTGAAGCACTAGTTTTGTGAAATGTGAAGCCCAGTTAAGGAAATCCTTGCCCTACCCTTTCTTCTGATGAATGGGGCTCTCTCCCATCAGCCTGTAGAGGGTGTACTTGAAGTCAATGACACCCTGGTTTTCTATGGTGAAGGAGCTGCTTTTCCGAGTGCCACAGGTCAAAGCCCCAAAGTTGATGATGGTGGAAGGGCTGATGCTGTATTTGGAGAAGACGGCATTCACGGAGAACTTGATGGGGATGTGGGCGACGGCCTCACCGCCTTCCGAAATGTTAGGCTCGATAATCTAGAAAGGGGAGAACATTTGGGATGACACTTGGTACCGGCTGTGTGCGGCCTTTCCGTGGCTGGCTACTCTGTCTGTGCCTTCCATCGCTGATGTGAAGCCACGTTACTATTTCATTCTCGCTCTCTCACTGTGTTAGTTTACTAAGAGCCAGTAGAGAGCGCTTACGGCGCACCAGCCATGGTCAACAGGGAACAGCGCTCTCGCCCACCCTCGGCCCCACTCCTCTTCTACCCTGGACGACTGAACGTTCTGGGCACACCTTCCCTCTGTGGCTCTATTTCTGACTTTCCATGTCCCACCTGACCCACTTTTGGTGACTTACTGGGAGCAATCCCGTGTACCCTCCATCTAGCTGCCACTGTGAATGCCTGGCTAGACCACACAGTCTTCTTTTGGACCAGAGTTCCATCCTGTCACCAGGCCAGCACCCCCTTGAGCTCTCTTACGTTGCAGTGCAGGACGGGCTGGTGATCAATCTTCACTTCCTTCTTGGCACAGAAGACCACCTGGACATTCGTGGGCTTATCCGCTGTGGTGAGAGAGCCCTTCTTGGGTTGGACCAAGAGCATGGAATTCAAGTTGGTCATGGATCTCTCTAGTGAGTCCACAGAAAAGCTGGTGGACAGGAATGCAAAGTCCACGTAAGTCATTATGCAGGGAGCCCAGGACACGAGAGAGGAGACTCTGGTGTTAGGTGTCCACCCCGCCTCTAGCTCTGGTCAAACACTATACAGAATGGTGGCCGTGCGTGCGCTCTGACCATTCCACCTTAACCGGCATTGCCTGGGGCAGGGACTGCTGGAGCTTGAGGCAAAGAGCTAGCACTGGGCTGCTCTGTGCTGGAGCTGTATCATGCAGGAGATCTCGGTCCAACAGGACACGTGACGGGAGATAAAGATCCGCTAAATGAACTCGTGTTTCTCTCCAAAGTCTGAGAGCAGTAGACAGAGGGAGAGTAGTGACACAGAGCTTGCCGCTCCAGGGAGAGAGAGGAAGGGCAGAAGGTTCTGGGATGGGAGGCCAGGGCACAACGGGGTGAGGGGAGAAGTCACAGTGTGACACGGAGGCAGGAGAAAGTCAGAGGGCCTGGAGCAGGAGCGGGAGCACCCGCTGAGGTGGGCCAGCTGGGGCTGCTCCGGGGATCCAGGCCACAGGACCGCTGGCCACCCAGCTTGTGCACGGCCCCTGCGTATCCTCACGTTCCTGCACATCCTTCCAAGGAACCCTGGTCACTGCCTCTGATCTGAGCGTCAAAGCTAAGGCCCAAGTTGTCAACCCAAACAGAGCTAAAAACTGAGACGTTTCCATCAACCACTCCTCTACAGGCACAGAGGCTTGTCTCAGTCGCGCTGGGCATTCAACTTTTTACTGATTAACAATGACACACACACTCTTCTGACTAAACACAGGGTGGAGGTGGGGGCTCGCTAATCCCAGCACTCCTTCAGCTTAAGTAAAACTGTTGCGAAGTCTCTCCTCACACTGTTGGGAGAAGTCCCTTCACCAACTGGGAGTTCTAGGGCAGGACGCCCTTTCATAGAAAAGTGACCAGGCATTAACTGCTGGCACTTCCACCAAGGACAGTATGACCTTGTCTGAGTGACCGTCCCTCCCCATCTGTTACCCAAGCCACCTTCTCTTTGGGAACCTCCTTTGTTAGTTTTTAATCTTAAGAGATGTGCACAAGACAGAACGCTGTCCCGTCAGGCACTAGTGAACTCTCTATGTAATACAATGGCTCTTAGAATGTTTTGTTGTCGTCACTGTTAGATGCCATCGAGTGGCCTGCACAATAGCTCTGAAGCCTGAGTCGTAATCCAGTCTCATTAATTCCTACACACCTACCCCCATCACCCTAGTCACTGTATCCATCCATCCATCTCATCTGGGGTCATAATGTCCTTATTCAAGGACCTGTCCCTCCTTGCAACATGCCCAAAGTACATGAGACGGAGCTTGAAAATCTGTGCCTCTGAGGAGAAACTTAGTTTCACACTCTCCAAGACAGACCTGTTTGTTCTCTTGGCGGCCCAAGTTGTTTTGTTTTTTTAAAAGAAAGAAATACTGGCGAACCCTTCCTTCATATGAAATCTTATCTAGAAGATCAACTCATAAAACAGGTAAGAGCCAGGGGCAGGGCAGGAAAGCCTGAAGCTAGATCTCCAGTCTCTCCAGCCGCTTCCCAGTGGGTCCAGCTTCCTCCAGGGAGCCCTCCAGCATTGCTAGATTTGAGAGCAGTGTGCAAACCTGCTGTCTTGTCGTCAGGTGCTGGCCAGCTGCCTCCGACTCACAGTGCGCCTATGAACAACAGGTCTGACCTTGGCCCTCTCACCCCTTCCTCATAAGCTGTGACTCTTAGATGCTGGCTTTCCTTCCCTTTGAAGCCAAGGACAGTGAGAAAAGCCAGGGTTCCCAAAGTGTCCTTGACTGCTTTTGAAACTCTCTGAGGCAGTCTCTCCTGTGAGTCCCAAGTCTGAAGAGATCCACACTACCTGAATATGATCTCATATTTCCCCCGGTTCTTCAGTTGCAGGGGCTGTCTGATTTCCTCCATGACCCGCACAACCCCGAAATCGAGGCCTCCTTCAGTCCCTGCAGAGGGGTGAGTGGGTGGGGTAGAAATGTTACCCCCTCTTAATGACGTCCACATGCAAAATCCGCAGTGACAAGTCAAAAGACTTCATCTTCTGAAAACTCTGTGGCTAGGAAAAGCTCTCGTAAGTGGCTGAGTTTCTGATAATCACCCAGGCTCTCTGCAGTCACGACTCTGAGAAGAGCTCAGCGCGTTCGTGCCGACGGCCAGCCACGCTCCCTGCAGATGGAGCGGTGGCCGTGTGCAGACGTTGCTGACATCACTCCCGGGCTTGCGCTGCCCTCTGCGGAACTTGGAACTCCACCCGCCACCCCATACCATCACACTGAGAACTTGTAATGGGTGAAAACGGCCCTTTCCCTGCCAGGGGTCGACAGACCTCGGGGGAAGCTGATGTCCAGGGAGATGTCGTAGGATTCTGCGAGGATCACGATGTTCTCCATCTGGACGATGCCAACGAGGTTTTCTGCATCTAAAACCTGGCGCAGTGACAAAGGGTCTCCAGTCAACGCGAGACTCACGGCTCCAGCTGCAGGCACAGTCCCCTCTGGGTTCTCCTCTGATGGCGATCCTGTTCCCTGTCCCTAGAACACCTGAACTGCAGACAGTGGGCAGGACACTGAAATGTCAACTCGGGATCGACTGAGGGGCGATAAAGCGGCCTGTTTGTACTGGAAAGAGCTGCGGGGGCCTGAGCACGGCCTTCCTGCTGGGGACAGCCAGCCTCTGTGCCAAAGCTTGGGGCACACAATTCTCAGTGACACTCATTCATTCAGCAGATGCCTTCTCCTCACTCGGTGACAGGGCGGGACACTGGACATGATGGCAGAGTGGGCTGTGTGGCAGCCCCCACCCTAAGCTTTGTGGACGTTCTAATGTCCAGGACCTGTGAGTGCGACCTTGTTAGGAAGAATGGTCTCCTCAGACATAATTGAAGACTCAAGCCAAGACTGTCCTGAGTGTCCAGGTGGAGACTAAATCCCGTGACAGAAAGCAGAGTCTGGAGATGGTGGCGGAAGGCAGAGACCAGACTGAGTGATCGAGCTACACACCAAGGGGTGTCTGCGGCCCCCAGAAGCTGGAAGAAGCAAAGGAGGACTCCTTCCCGGGAGCTTGAGAGGGTGTGGCCCTCCTGACACCTTGACTTTGGACTTCTGACCCCAGAACGATGAGATGATACATTTGTGCTGTTTGAAGTCACCCAGTTGGTGAAGTGGCCTTAGAGCAGCCACAGGGAATGAACCCAGATGGTGAAGAAGTCAGGTGAAACACTGTCTTCCCGGGGTTCACTACGTAAAGAGGCAGGCCAGTGTCGGAAAGGGCCAGATGCTCTGAAGAATGGCCGACAGGGAGAGTGAGGACAGCTGGCAGAGGACCCGAGATGAGGGGGTGAGGGAAGCCCTGGTGGAAGCAGTGATGTTTAGGGACCTCTGAGGCAGAAGCCAGCTCCCCACTGGGCCCAGGGACAGCACTGCTGGCAGGGATGTGGTATGTGTGGCAAGTCGAGGGGCTGAAGGAGAGAAGAGCAGTGTGACGGGTGGAGGGAGCCGTGGGTATAGCGGCAGCTGAGACCCTGGGCTTTATTCGTTTGCAATGGGAGGCCGGCAGAGTGCTTCATGGAGGAAACTCAACTGATTTGACATTTTAAAGATCCTTCAGGACAATGTGAGGGACAGGCAGAGACCGGGAAAGCAATTTGGAGGCCTCGCACAGGTTCAGAGAAGAGAGGCTGCTGGGGGCCTGAGCCAGGGCCATGGCTGTGTTGATGGAGAAGTGGATGGAAGGAGGCAGGTTGTAGAGGCAGAGCTGACAGCTGACGGGCTGTTGGAGGCGAGGCAATAAGGAAAACGGAGCTTCAAGGATGACTACCTGGTGTCTCTTGGGAGCAACTGGGTGAAAAGTGATTATTTCCTGAATGACTGGGCCTCTGGGCATGAAATCAGGCCTGGCAGCACCCCTCACTGATCCACTCATCTATCTACCCATTCATTCTACATCTGCCGAGTGTCTCTGTTCTCGGCCCTGGGCAATCGCACACCGCTGTCCTACCAATTCCACACGCAGCGACCCTCCGGGACAGAGGGACACTGCCCCCGGGAGTTTCCAAGGCTGTCAATCATCCGGGCAGCTGACTCACCCTTCTCCTACAGAGCGGGTGCTGGGTTCAAACTGCCGACCTGGTTAGCAGCCAAGCATGTTAACCAGTCTATCTCCAGGGCTCTTAACTGGGACGCGAACAAGACTGACATGGCCCCTGCCTCTGAGGAGCTGACAGTCTTATGCAGAGCAAGATAGTGTGGGCTGGTGGCTGTTAAACAGGGTGCAGATGGAAGTGCTGGCTCAAGGAGAGACAGAGAGGAAAGTGTGTGTGTGTGTGTGTGTGTGTGTGTCCTCGCGTGTGTCAGGGAACCCCACCATGCACGCATTTCAGTGACCACATCCAGGATGCGCGGAGACTTACCTCCAGCCGAATGGCTTTCTTGATGGTGATGGGCTTGGAAGGCTGGAAGTGGACCTGCAGGTTGTACTCAGACCTGGGCAGGATGGTCCCCTGGGTCTTCGGTACCGAGAAGTCGTCACCCAGGTGGTCCACGTTGGACACGCGCCAGGACACAGGCAGCAGGGAGACGTTGCGGAGGTGGATGGCCTTGGTTTCTTTCCTGCAGAGACCCAGAGAAGGGCTGCCCGTCAGTCCTCACTGAACGGAAACCGAAAGAAAGTCAAGCCTGTCCTTCTTGTCTGTGTGTCTGTGTTAGCGCTTCATTTCTTCTAGGTCTTCGAGCTTATGGGGCTGGGCTAACTTGTGTGACTTCACTTTCCCCCCTCAGACAAGCTGGCCTGCATTGGCCCAAATGCAACGACTTAATTGTTAAACTGGAGGAGAGTTGTACGAATTCCTTTATGCCCTTTCTCCCATTCATCAACTGTCTGTATTTTTGCTCTCTCGGCTTTGCATTCATATTCACATTCCCTCTCTCATACACAGCCCTGAAACCCTTCCCTCAGCCACTGCAAAGTAAACTTTGCTCCTTGAAGTGTTTCAGTGCATGTTATCTAAGAAGAAGAACATTCATTAAATCCAGAAAATTCAACGTTGATGTGATGCTGTTCTTCCCAATCACAAATACTTTAATACATTAGTATGTGAGTCCACTTAAGATTGCTCCACATTTTACAGAGGCTTATTTTACTTCCCCACTCCCCTCCTCACCCCCAAAGCTCAGAAAGACATATTGATGGTGCCAAAGTCACAGGTTTCATTGCAACACTTGGACCAATCCTCAGACCAGCCGCCCGACACTCGCAGTTGCTATGGGAACATCTGGGGCAGGTCGGGAAACTCTTCCGTTATGTCAGGTAGCTCACTAATCAGTCTGTATCAGGCCACAGGGCCTGCTCGTGAGGAGCAAGGGAGTCGAGCTCCACGTCGTAAGGAAATTCTCTCCCGAGGACGCAGCAGGCAGCCTTCTCTAGAATCATAACACGCCCATGAATGTGAAATCCTTGTCGGGTCTAATCATCTCTGCAGGTCTGTTAATTTCTAGAGCAAAGATTTTTAACTTTTTAGGGCAGTCGGTGACTTTGAGAACCATGAAGACTTGCTCTTTGGAGGAAAAGGTAGGGGAATCTTTGACTCTGCTCAGATCCACCCACTGAGACCAGGCTGTGAATGAAATAGAGTTACTAAGAGCTGTTGGGGAGGAGCTGTGGTGAAGACTTTAAGTTGCTAATCAAGAGGTCTATGGTTTAAATCCCTCCGCTGCTCTGGGGGAGACAGATTCTTCTCAATCGGCATTGGCGCGATGGTAGTGGTTTCGCTGGTTTGAACAATCCCAGCTTACATGGGCTGAGAAGTTTCACAAGAGGCAGACCTGCCAGTGTGGAAAGGGAGAACGTCTTCAGTGAACCAGGCTTAAATGGTCACCTTAGGACTAAATGGCCTCTAGGTCCCTGTCTAGGTCTGCCTTCCGTGAATCATCTAGAGCACTGACCTGCCCAGTAAGAGCCGCTCAAAATGCAACTGCTTCTGGTCCAGCTCCAGCTCAGGGCGGACCCCCAGGCAGCTCAACTTGAAGATGGCTGGCTTGGGGTTCTCCTTGATGCAGCAGACGACGCTGTCTTCAAACACGCCCACCGCAGTTGGGTAGGCCCACAAGGTCAGCAGCTAACGGAAGAGGCCACAGAAAGCAGAGACTTACATCGAGAGGGCTGAGACTTCCCAGCAGGCCTCGACCTCGCCTCTGTGTCAGTGTACCTGCTTCTCGTTGGGTTTCAGAAACATGACGGTGGGCTCCAAGAAGTAAGTGTTCGCTCTGACGTCATTCTGGAAACAAAAGTGCACTTCCACAAACATGGGAGAGTTGTTGAGGATTGTCAGCGTCTCCGTGTTCCCTGGGAAGAGGGATGACTTGTACCTGGAAGGGAGTCGAAGTGGAGACGTGGTTACGAGGACTGAGGAAGGACACGGGTGGAAGGGAGACTGCCGAGGGCACGGCAGTTCAAGGGGACAGTGTGGCTACACCAATGCAGTGGCAGAAGGGTGACCAGGGCCGCGGCGTTGTGTGGACTTGACTCTGATCGCACCACAGGCCTCACACACCGTGGTCTGGCCTCCCTTTCCCCAGCCTCAGTGAGACGTTCTTTCTGTTTCTCATCCTGTTCTTTCTCTTCTCCAGTAAATAGTTACTGAACAGTTGAGGGGGTGAGTCAATGAATGAACAAATGCACTTTCTCAGGGCTCCCAGTGGCGGGCTGCACCCCAACTGGTCTGTGTTTTGCACTCTATGAAGAATGCAGGCAGGGAAGCCTGGAGGGGCAGATGTTAAACACGCATGACAAAGCAGGTATGCACCCTTCCGCCAAGTCTCCCCCTTCCACCCAGACATTCACCTCTCCTGGTACAAGGCAGTACAGCTTAGCGGATGGGGGTCCTGGGGTCGAACAAACCCGGTGTGACTCAGCACGGTCAATACATGTTCATACTGTTATCATTCTTACAGACTTGGGACTAGCTGATGATGTTATTTGCTGTCAAGTCAAAACTACCTCCTAGTTGGCCCTCCCGAGGGGTTTCAGAGATGGTTAATTGCATGGGGGGAGACTGCTCACCTTTCTCCCCCAGAGCAGTGAACAGCCTGGACCCACGTATGACTCAGGAGCCCAAATGAGGGCCTTACATCCACCTTGATAAAACACAGCACTTACTTGTCTCTTGATTTTCCACAAAGCAGTGGCCCGAAGTAAAATCTGTCCATGCTTGTAACATATTTCTTAAAGACGATCTCATGTGACTTCATGTCGTCCTTGCGCTGCGGGAACACCACCCTAAACGCCAGCAGAGAGGTTCCTTGTTAGGGTGAGGCTGACAGTGCATGTTTGATGCCTTCCTGAAGCCAACACTTCCTGGTCAGCTAAGGGGCCGAGCAGGTGTCTGGAGACCAAGTGACTCTTAGTTTGAGGGTCAGGTTGAGCTTTTACTCCCCCCGATGCGTGAAGCCAGGAGCTGCCATCATTTTAGACTTCAGCAGCTGGCAGGGAGGGCCAAGGGGGCGGCACTGCATTTCCTGTGCTACTGCTTCCAGCTAGAAAAATCCTTATTGTTGTTATGTAGCATTAAGCTGGAACCAACCTGTAACTTCCAGAACTATGGGATAATACCTGTTTCTAAAAACCTCTCTTTTGTTATTGTAGCTCTAGGAAATAAAAATATCTATTAACATATTATTATTATTATCACCATTTTCTTCACATTAATTTGGGAATGTCACAAGGTACTTACTCTGTCATTTCTGCAACTCTTAGTCTACATCCCAGGTCCCGAAGTCCAATACAAGAGGGTCTGTTGCTGTTCTAGTTCCATGTTATTATTAGAGCCATCTTATTCAAAGTATTATGGGGGGGAATAAAAATGTACCTTGGTCACCATTTCTTTGACAATCCTATACATGCTTACTTTGGGTCTTGGCAGATGTATGGATAAGTGCAGGTGCCTTTGCAGCAAAGCTGGTACTGCTGCCGACTTCCAAGGATCTCAAAGTTGAAAATCTGCTCAAAGTCCCCGAGATCACATGAGGAGAAGTGCACTCGCAGAGCCACCTCGCCATTGGCTGGCACGATCCAGCGGAAATGATTCAGCCTGCCAAGGACCAAGGAGCCTTTTACAACGAGAACGTGTCCTTGTGGCCCAGAAAGACCCAAGAGTTGGCTGGAAGAAGCCCTGTCCTGTTGAGTTAGGTGTGGGCAGGTCACGGTGACACTCTGGCAGGTCAGCCTAATCCTCTTTGGCGCTGTGACACCCAGGACCTCAGCTTTGGGGGCGCAGCGCCCACCCCCACCTTGCCTTCCTGGAGGCCCACCTGATGAACTTCTCCTGGGAGTGCTGCCCAGTCAAGCTGTTCTGGTCGACCTCTGACAGAGGTGCAACGTTCCCCGAAGCTGCTCCGGAAAGGCTCTTCTTGTTAACGGCTCTGCGCTTGTCTTTCTGAGAGTCCCGGGACTGCTCTGATTTCTCTTTCTGTTTCTGTTTGTTGGCTTTAGATGAGGTGGTCTGCTCCTCCTGGGACTGAACGAAAAATGAACACGTGGTAACAAATGCACAAGAACAAAAGACCTGGGGGCTCTTCCCATCTATATGTGGGTCCAGGGTGACACCCCCTACCCTGCTCTCCCCAGTGCCCTGTGCCCCAAGGAAGAGGTCGACCAGAGCTGGTAAAGCAGGGCATCATGTTTTCACAGCACTGCTAAGCCCCTTGCCCGCTGCTGTCTGCCTTCCAATTCCTGATTTATTCTAGTGAGTTTTTATTTATATATATGTTCTTTATATCCACACACACATTTTCCCCAGTTTTTTAATTATTTTAAGCAATCTGTCATAATGAATAAATTCTAATTTATTAATATTTTTTAACCCTTTTTAAAAAAATTGTGGTTTTAGTGAAAATTTATAGGTACCTTGGGTTTCCATCCATCCATCCATTCATTCATATACATTTTCCTCCCTTCCCATCCCCGCCTCTCTCCCCTAATTCACTTTGCAACACGTCTTGTTCCAGATTAGAACTGTCATACACACAGTGCCTAATTATCCATTCTTTCAGACAGTCTTTCTCATCACCTATTCCAGTGCCGTGTCTACTATCTATCAATTGTCTTCCAATTCCCCTTCTCTGTGTGTCCATCCTATTTTTATAACAGTGGTCCTATGCAGTGTCTGTCCTCTTGTGACTGAGATATTTCACTCAGCATAATGTCTTCCAGACTCATCCATGTTGTGTAGTGTTTTACAATGCTGTGTAATATTCCACTATGTGAGCGTACCACAAATTTTCTATCCATTTGTTTGCTGATGGGTACTTGGGTTGCTTCCACCTCTTCACTATTGTGAATAATACTGCAACAAACACGTGTGTGTATACAATCAGTTTGTATCACAGCTCTGGTTTCTTTACGTTATACCCACAACAGTAGGAGAGCTGGGTCAAATGGTATGTCTATTTCCAACGTTTTGAGGAAGTGTCAGACTGCCTTCCTTAATGGTTATACCACACTTTATTATTTTCTGACTTTTCATTTATTTATAAGGTTTAAATTCTTCTTCCTTATTTGGTAGGGGGAGCTCTGGTGGCCTGCTCTGCAGGGTGTGTCCCTCCCTCGGTGCGGGGCGTTAAGAGTCAGCAGCGACTTGAGGGAAGTGAGTTTGTGGTTGTTTTAATGTCGACTTTTTATTTTGGATTTGGCGAGAAAGAACTTCAACCAGACAGACTGACACAGTAACTGTCCCAATGGGCTCGAGTATGTCAGAGGTCACGAGGATGGAACAGGACAGGAGAGGGGTCAGATCTGTTGTTCACAGGGCTGTTACAGGTCGTACCCAACACAACAGCACCTAACAACAGCATAAATGTTGAAGACATAGTCCAACAAACATTAGGTTCAATAGTTCTTCTTGGTTAGCCCTATTTGGATTATTCTTTTTTTTTTCTTCTGAAACTTTAGAAGTACGTTGCAGACATGATGACACTCTATCCCTAAATACGTTAGTCTGCATAGCTTCTGAGGATAGTTTTCTACACCACTGCAAGACCACGGTCCCAACTAAGAGAAGCAAATGGAATTCGATACCAATTGGCCCAGCACAGTCTATACGAAAAATGTCCCATGTGTCTTGGGTATGATTTTACTATCCATCCTCCCCCCAGTAAATACTGATGTTTTCTTTATTGGTTTTGTGATGTTTCCTTTGTCCCTTGTCAACTGGGAACCTCTCTCCCCACCACACTGACTTATTAGAGAGATCAGCTCCTCTCTCCTGCGGGGCAGTCCACACTCCGAGCTGTTCTGGCTATTCTCACGGTGCCTTTGAACTTACTCCTTTCCTCCCTGTAGACTAAATATTAAAGCCGGAACAGATTCACAGGTGATCTTTGTACTTTCTACTCCATCAGAGCAGCAGACAAATCAAGTCGGGATGACCCGCTCTCACAGATAAAAGTCAAGTCCACGTGGCAGGGTGCCCTCGAGACCCCTCTAATGTGGAGCAGGCCTCGCTCTGTAGTCAGCACACCATGCGCGTACGGAGCTCTGCTTCTGCGCACGCGTCCTGTTCGCCATCTCTCCTCCACCGTTTACGAGTCGCTGGGGGCTCCTAATCGGTTAATCCACTGTGCGTAACAATCCGGCCCTATTCTAATTCTTCAGTCTCAGTGGCCGTTCTTTCAGATGGTGACAGTTCCCTTGTCAGCCACTGTAAACTTCAGTTTCTCCTAAAGAACTCCCTTCTTCTCAATGGCCAAGCTCTAATGCCAAACTGCAGGAAAGGAGGGCCTCTGACTGACGGTGCTGGAGAAGAGTTCTGAACACTCTCTGGGCTTCCAGAGGAGCAAACACATCTGTCTTGGAGGAAGAGCAACCAGTGTGTTCTTTAGAGACAGGGAGGGGGAAACTTCATCTCACATATTTGGGTATGTCGTCAGGAGATGCTAGTCCTTGGGAAGAGGCATTACGCCAGGAAAGATGGTCGGTGAAAGGAGGGAGGCTCCGGACGAGGTGGACAGACCAGGGGACTGTAACAAAGGGCTCGAACCTGTCAGAGACTGTGAGGATGGCACGGGGCTGGGAAAGGTTATCTGTTGGTCACAGGGTTGCTGTGACCCGCACCAGCACGATGACATCTAACAGCAGCAACATCCTAGTGAGGGGGGAGCCCTGGTAGTGCAGTCGCTTAAGCACTGGGCTGCTAACCAGAGGATGGTGGCTTGAATCTACTGGCTGCTTGGGGGTGGGGTGGGGGGGTGGATTAGAGTTTCCTCTTGGAAAGATTTAAAACCCGGGGAATCCAACGGAAGGTCACCACGCACTGGAATCACCTCGGCAGCAGTGGGGTTTGGGGTTTATCCTAAGAAATTAGAAAGTCTCTCTGTCACTTTTTTACACACATGCTTCCTGCATATTCTTGCAGTCAAATATACTTTTGCTTGTCACTTTTTTCTATTAAGTTTATCTATAATTCTATCTTTTTAAACATTTCTTTTTCTTTTAAAGTATTTTCATTCAGGAGTCACTTGTGTGCATTATGTAAAGAAAGACAGTAGACAGGACCTGACGGAAATGCCCCATCTTCTCACGGCAGTACCCTGAGCGTGCGCTCCTCTCCAGGGCGCCTTGTGCTCTCTCCACTCGCTCTCGGTAGCTTTGCGCCCTGTTGGAAGGATGCCTACGCCTTGAAACACATTCTTAGTGGCTTTTCAAAACCCCCATGGGGTTGCAAAAGGTTGAGTGATGACAATTTTTTTAAGTCTCTCTTGGAGGGAATAAGACAAGTCCCATCCTGGGGAGATACAGATCGGGGTGCTCCTGCCAGTTCCTCAGGCTGGACCCCCTTGTCTAGAGAAGTCTGGGGAAAAACTTACTTCTTTGAGCATGAAAAAAAAAATCAAACCTACTGCCTACGAGCTTGCAAGCAGGAGTGGCATCCACTTCCATAATAGCTTGTCTCTGGAAACCTTATGAACTGGGAGAAAGGTCGAAAGTTGAGAGAGAGAGAGCAAGAGAGCGAGCGCACACGCATGCAGTTGGCCTAGCGGACAGAAAGTCATGCTCCAAAGCCAAAGCCCTCAGGCCTGCCTTTGTTTTTGGTAAAACATTGAGCAGTTTGTAAAGAGCATCAAGGACATGGAGAAGAATAACAAAACAATCTTTTCTAATGCACAAAGGGAACTGAAAAAAGAACTAGATGCACTGCAAAAGAAAATGTTAATAGACGCTCATAAGCAAGAGGTGGCAAATGTTCGCAAGTCTATTGAGTCCCTGTTAGCTTGATGATTCTTTGAAGGAAGAACATGTCTCTAAGGAACATGACACAGTTCTAACATGAGCTGCATTAAAATACATTTGCTATTAAACATCCTAGTTTAAATTAAAAAAAAAACCATTCTTTCTAGGTCGTGCAACCCTGGTCTGTCCACTTGCTGTACAGAGGTAACTCATGGTTGCTGTGAAGCCAAACACTGCACCTCCCTGCTCCCTGCCATCCTCTGGGCCAGGCCAGGAGCTCACGACCTCGCCTGCTTGTCCACGTGTTACCTTTGCATTGACTGAGGGTGAGGACAGCTCTGTTTCGGCCTCTGTCTCTTTCTTATCCTCCAATGAGGAGAGCTCGTCTGATTGTGGACACACAAAGACGAAGCACTTCAGGATGTCTGCTGGGGCCAGAGGCAGGCGCTTCACAGGGTAGGGGATGACCGAGAACAAGGTGGGAGGCGGGATGGGTGGTCCAGAGGACCCCAGGCCCAAGATGTCCAGGATCTAAAAGAAAAGGGCATTGTTAATTTCTTGACAGATGAACCTCAAACAACTCATGTGTGTGAACACTGCTCAGACCTCCGCCAGGCCCTCCCCGCAGCATTCCTGAGAGCTATGCCCAGGGCCTGACAGCTCTGCTCCCTCCAGACTCCAGCCGGCCTTCTCACAACTGTTCAACTGCCATACTTTGCAACTGGACTGTAAACCCCATTAAGACAAAACACAGGGCAACAGCACTCAATACACCTGCACTGGATGTAAAGAGACCAGCTCTCAAGATCCTGGTGTGTGCAGTAGAGAGCTGTCCCACCCACTTTCAGTGTCTATGTTAACTTTCCATTTTGCTTTAAGCCTGTTGTCCCTCTAAAGGTGAAAGAAAGTTCAGACTGGAACAGCAGAGACAGAAACGACAGTTCTGGGGTGAGGTCAGAGGTGAGAAGCCAGAGTGAATCGTGACGAGGCAGGGGTGTTACTCCTGTTCTTGCAGGTCATTCATTTCACTATGGCACATAAAGGACAATGTCTTTCCTGCACGGCCCAAAGATCTACCAGCAACTTCTTCCCAGCATGTAAAGACCACCTTCATCTCAATCCAGCGTATGATCCCTGGATTTAACTGCTACCATCACAACAGGAAATGTCATAGCCCACCGAGCAGGCAGCTAGCTTCAGACACAGAGAGAGCCATGCTGAGGTCAGGCCGCTAAAGGCATTTCTGGACTAACCTCGTGGCTGGAGCTAAGTCTTCAGGATTTAGAATGTCAGTGAGGAAGGAGGTGAACAATGTGTCCCAATTACTAGATGCCCAAAGCCAGAGGAAGGCTCTAACTTACTGCTTAGAGTGTGGAAAGCAGAAAACAAGTCAAAAGGATGCCCTTGGCTCTAAGTGAGAGGACGTTCTTGGCTACAAAAGCATAAACTAAGTGGAGTTGATGCTGTGTTTACGGTAGCACTACGACCCAGTCATGCCCAGCTCTGTCCTTTTTTGGCAATCACCCTGGTCCTTCCCTCGGTGCTCACTCATCATGTATCCTACTCTTTCAGGCTCTATTTCCTACCTCCTAATCCTGCACCTAGTTTCTGGTGAACTAAAGCAAGAACCAGAAGACTGCAGACGGAATCTGACTGGGTTTCCTAAATACAGTTTTATTGGAACATAGCCAGGACCATCTGTTTACATATTGCTGATTGTTTTTATTGCCTAGAAAGGCAGTGTTGCTACAATAAAAGCTGCATCATTTGTAACTTAAAGTATTCTTGTTTGGTACCAATGCTCCTCCCTAAAACAGGACCCAATACAGGTGGCTTCTCCTGAGGTCAGTGGGATAACGGACATCTGTGGAACTTTCTATGGCTTTCCATCAGACAGAAAAAAGTCCTTTAGGTTATTGTCTTGCATCTCTGGGGTCACTGTAGATGAATGGAATTCAGGGGAAGGTGGAGAGAAACACCTCTACACTGACACACACTCTACATGACAACTATTCATGCCTGTACCTGGTCTCTTTTGGGAAGTCTGTCGTTCTCCAGGGCCTGCTTCCAGTTCAAACCTTCCAGGTCAGGAGTCTGGATGGTGATGAAGGGCACGCCCAGGTCCTTCTTGCCCTCATGGTCTTCCTCCACGTCCCCCTCGCCCCAGTCGCTGCGCTCCTCCATGGCCCGGAGCTTCTCCAGTCGCTCCCTCTCGGCCTTCTCCCGCTCCAGACGTTCCCTCTCGGCTCGTTCCTTCTCCAGGCGCTCCCTCTCTCGGTCCTTGCGGCCTCTGCGCCCGCTTGATGGGACCTGGCGCTGGTCGTCCTGCTCGTGGGGCGTCTCCTCGGCCCCCAGGTGAGGCTGCTGAACACCTTGCTTGCGGTCCCAGAAGATAAGGATGCTTTGGATTTCCTTTAAGTTCAGCTCATAGTTCTTGAACCCTTGAGCCAGCTGTCTGTCTGAGTCCTTCATGACATAGTCCTTTTCACTTTCTTCCTCTTGGACCAGAGGAATCCCAGTGTAACTGTAATCAGCAGCCTGGGGCTTTCTCTTCTTTAGGTCTTCCTTCTCCGACAGTCCCTGCTCTTTGAGAGACACTTTCATGTCAACGGCCTCCGGCTTTGCGTCTGTTTTGGAAAAAGTTAGAACCTAGAGGACAAAACCATACGATAGTCTTTTAAGGGCGAGGAAATGGCAACAGGGGAAGGCATGAGGATGCTGTGCTTCATAAGGACGCCTCACAGGGGGCCTCTTGTGAACACTAGGGTTGTACCCAAGCATCATCTCCGGAGCCACTACCAAAATATCCATTCTCTGGTCCTTCTACCATCAAGCTGGCTGGCACCTGGCATCAAGCATTCTCACACAGCTGTCTAGGTGCTTTGATATGGGGGTGACATGGGGTGATTGCTCAAAACAGTTCTCCTAGCCGTTGGCTTTGACTTTCACCACATGACTGTGTGGGAACTTGAAATGGGAAGTGTATAAACGAACCATGGTATTGGTCATGTTCACCATCCCACCCCGTTCAATTGTGCGGGTTTAGCCGCAAAGATGGAAATCTCACTACCAGCGAGGAAAAAGAAGCCGAGGGTGCAGTGTGCATCCTGTGGGGCCAGAGATTCCTGTCAGACCGGGTTCCACATGAGACTGGTAGCAGCCTCCAGAGAGAATAAGAGACTGGTATGAGACAGAGCTGACATGGGACGGCTTTGCTACCACTTGCCGGAGGACTGAAGGAAGACGCTGTAACTGGCAGCACTCAGGGCACTAGGTAACACTGACCTAGGCCATGAGCCTGAAGGGCAAAGGGACAGCGAGCTGCTTGAGAAGCTGCCTTGACTGAGGAATTGTATCTTGCTGTCAACTTGAACTGTAACCTGTTAGTTTTCCTAATAAACCCCTTAACAGTGAGGGTGGATCTTTGAGATCTGTGCAGTCATTGCAACGGATTTTGGACCCTACAGGAAAGCAGTTTGTTTGGGGTTGGAATTAGCAGTAGGTGTGAGTGGCCCTGGCTGACCTCATGGGCACTGGTTTTGGTCTGTGGATGTTCCTGATGGAGAATGTTCCCCTCTGTGAAGTTAACAGGGCTCAGAAGCAGCTGACCCCGTGCTGTTCTTACTCTAGGTACAGATACGCAGTCCTGGTCAACAGCCTCCCTCCGGCAGTTGTCTGGTCAACATGACTCTGGCACTGGCCATAGAGGACTGTGGTCTTTTCACAGCTGCACTGACCCAGGTGAGGCCTTTGCTCTCTGCCTCACCTGATGAGTAGGGGGAGAACTAGGAATCTCATAGGACTAAACAGAGGACAGACAGACAGGACGGCAGAGGACAGACAGACACGACAGCAGAGGACAGACAGACAAGATGGCAGAGGACAGACAGACAGGATGGCTGAGGACAGACACAACGGCAGAGGAAAGACAGGACGGCAGAGGACAGACAGGACGGCAGAGGACAGACACGACGGCAGAGGACAGACACGACGGCAGAGGACAGACAGACAGGATGGCAGAGGACAGACAGGACAGCAGAGGACAGACAGGATGGCAGAGGACAGACACGATGGCAGAAGATAGACAGACAGGACGGCAGAGGACAGACAGGATGGCAGAGGAAAGACACGATGGCAGAAGATAGACAGGACGGCAGAGGACAGACAGACAGGACGGCAGAGGACAGACAGGATGGCAGAGGATAGACAGATAGGATGGCAGAGGATAGACAGACAAGGCAGTAGAGGACAGACAAACAGGACCAGGACGGCAAAGAACAAACAGGGCAAAGTTCAGATCTGTTGTTCACTTACTACGAGTTGTGGTCAACTGAATGGCACCTAACAAACAACCATGAGCTACTTTAATGTTAATGAGTTTGAAAGAGATTGACTTTTTTAAGAGAATAATATGAATAAATAATCAGACTAAGAAGTAAATGAAATTCAAAGACTTTAATCTTTAAAGAAATTGATTCTATAATTTAAGGCATATACCTAAGACAATATCAAACCTATCAATTTTATAGTCTACAAAGACTTTAAAGATTAGATAATGTACTTGATGCAAAATCGTCTGTAGCAGGAAAAAGAGGAAAAGCTCTCCAACTTATCTGATAAAGCTCATGTACCACCGATATGAAAACAAATGAAGGACAGTATAAGAAAAGAAAATTACAAACCAATTTCATTTGTCAGCATGGTGACAAAAGCCTTAAGCAATATATTAAAAAACTGAAACAAGGGGAGCTCTGGTGGCCTACTGGCAAGGAGCTGCAACTACAATCCCAGAGGCGCACGGATCAAATCCACCAGATGCTCTGCCGGGGAAGGAGGGACAATCTCCTCCTGTACCAGTCAGAGCTGATTTGACGGTACACTCACACAAAAATAATAAAATAAAATAAAATAAACCCTGAAACAAGCCATACCCTTAAAACAGACTAAATTATGACCTAGGAGGATTAACACTTGGAGGATGAAGATGGTTAAATAATAGAAAATCCATGGATATGACATGGCTTTATGTGTGGTCAGATTAGAAAAGAAAACCAAACACGATCACAGCTCTGGATGCTGAGAAACTATTTGATATAACACAACATCCCGAAGTAGGAAAGTGGAACACAGTACAGTATCTCCAAAATCCATCCGTACGAAGGCCTTGAGAAGCCACAAAGGCAGTGGAACTGTCTACGCCTTTGGTTGGGAGAGGAACAAACCACAGAGCAGTGGGCCCAGAATTTGGGGCTGAGAAGATATTCCGGAAGACTCATGGGCTGGGGTTCAAAAATTGGCCTTGAGTTCTGCCACATTAAAGTTGAGTTTGGTAACTCTCCAGCGACTTAGGCCAGGACTCCAAAAGGCCGTATTCTAGGAAGAAGGGTGGGGTAGAAATGGACTAAGCCCCCCGTACTAACGTTCAGCTTCAGTGATACCCCCCACCCCCCGATCCCTGATTAAATGAAGCCTGACTCAAATGATAATTCTCTCTGGAGGGAGCTAACAGTACCGAGACCTCGAAATGCACTTGAATTATGCTCCTGGTGAAGAACGCAGGGCAGACTGTGAGCAGAACAAACAAGCCTTTCTCAGCAGGAGTGCAGCCAGAATGCCCCTTAGCAGCAAAGTGGCGAGAGAGACATCACGTCATGTCACGTCACATACTCGGAATATGTTGTCAGGAGGCACCAGCCCCAGGGGCGGGAGCAGCGGCAGTGAGGACGGGGCAGTGCTCTGCTCTCACATCTGTGAAGGTGCTACGGGCTGGACTCAGCTTGATGACAATGAAGACCTAGGATGACAGCCCTGTCCAGAAAGGGGCCAGAGGAGTGGCTGAGAAAGAGAACAGCACAGGAGACAGAGCGCGCTCAGGATGCAGAGAGAAAGAACACCGAGGAGGGGCCAGTCCTCAGGCACAACACCTGCAGAAGGAAAGCCGGCAAGTCGGGGGGAACCGCGCATGCGGGATCTGGGAATGGACACGCTGGACTTTGGGTGTGAGGGGTGGTGGAGTCAGAAGCAGGTTAGAGGAGGCTGAGGCACGGCTGGCAGGTGAGCGGAGACAGCTCCTCAAAGGAGAGAGGAGAAATAGGGTGGTCATCACAGGTGCCAGGGCTGACTGAGGAGTCCTGAAAAGGAGGTGTGTGTTCACACTGGGGCGTGAGAACATCCCGGAGGAAGGAAGCCTCAGATGATCCAAGAGACAGACCTGCAGAGGAGGCAGGAGGCCCTCTGAGCTGTGTTCTTGCCAGTTTTTCCTTTTCACTTCAGTCTCCCTCTGGAACTTTCATGCACTTTCTGAGAATACCTGATCTTAGCACATTTTCCTGAACTAAAGATTTTTCCAGACCAGGTACCTTCATTCCAAGAGGAGTCTCAAGGAGTTGTCCTGGGAAAAGACGGTCTGTGCCTTGTGTTAAGTTCACATGGTATATGCACATGGGCACGGCCCCGATGCAGCCTTCCCCCAGATCAACCAAGTACACGCCACGCCACACCGGAAAGGGACCTGCCTGGGTCCTGAAGGGGAAGCTGCGGAGGGTGCCGAAGTCATACCAACTGCAGCTGAGAGCAAAACAAGGGAAACCCACAAAGATGGGCTTCAAACCTCCAAAGAGGAAGCTGGTGGGCATAATTCAGGGCTAACTGGGCTTCCTTTTGATGGGGACAAGCATACTGACCTGGAAGGGTAGCTGGGATGCTTAGCGTCTAGCTTATGATGAGGGTCCATACGCCTTTCCTCCCACCCTCTGCTCCTCCACAAAACCCAAACACTGGAGTGGATTTTCTGGACCCACAGACCCCTGCTGCTGGCCCTGGGCGGGTGGGCCTCAGGCGGCTGTACCTGGCGGCTCACAGTCTGAGCTTTCTTCAGGTGGTTTTCCTCCTTCGGTGGGGCCGCCTTGGGCTTCCTAATCCGGCGCTTCAGCTCCTCCTCTTCCCGCTGCCGCTCGAGCTCCTGCTGCAGCTTCTTTTCCTGCATCTCTCGTGCCAGCCTCTCCTGCTCCCTTCAGTGAACCGAACAAGAGAAAGAGCGTTCAGAGACCCTCCGGCCTGGGAAACCGAGGGGCACTGGCACGGTGGTCTTAGACATAAAAAGCAAGCAGGAGAGAATTAACGAGGACAGATGAGATGGACAGAAATAAAGGACTTTCCCCTAAAAGACCCCCACTGCCATCTAGTCGATTCTGACTCACAGTGACCCCTAAGGACAGACTGGAATTGCCCCATTGGGTTTCCAAGGCTGTGGTATTTGTGGAAGTAGGGTACCCCAGTTTTCTCCCATAGAGTAGCTGGTGGACTTGAACCGCTTATCTTTGAGTTAGAAGCTAAAGGAGCATTTAAGGAGTAAGGAAATGATGGAAGGGTGGGAAGAAGGAAGGAGACATACTATGGCCGACATCTATTTCTGAAGAGTTAGGTATCCAACAATACTTGGATTAAAGCATTTTAACCCAATAAATCTCACTAGGAGAGCTTTGCCCCTGACCTGCGCTCCTGCCCCAGCCACCTTTCAGGAGAGGGGAGGCCAAGGCTGACCATCTGACCATACGCTTGGTGCTGGTGAGCTTTCTGGAACCCAGACGCCCCTTACTGGGCTTCTCAGGAGAATGAAATGACTGGTATACTTGAACTGCTGGCCTTTCACTTATCAGTCAGATGAGCTATGCTTTACGCCACTAGTGCACAACTTTAAAAGACTGCTCTGGAATCAGGACAGAGGAGGCCCAGCCTGCTCTCCCGTCACACGTGACGTCCAGGTGACAGGACTCAGCACCTTCACCAGCCCCTGCTGTGGCCACGTGGAGCCACGGCGCCGGTCCCAGGGCCTGCTCTCCCCCCTCACTTTCTCCCTGCCTGCTGGGGTCCAGCCAGCTCCGTCCTTGCTGTGCACAGCACCGCGTGCCCAGTACACACGAGCAAGGAGGGGCAGCCTGTCCGTGTATGCAACCACTCCCAGGGAACCCTGCTGGTCCTCGGTTGCTGTGGCTCCCCCCCCCGGAAGCCCACTGGCCACACCATTGCTTTGGCAGAGAGACTGCAGATACATCATTGCTTAGTTCAGAGGTTCAAATGTGGACTTTCTAAGTTACAGTGAGGTGGCTGCCTGAAGGTAAAGGCCTTGAGAAGAAATATGAACGTTCCCCTTTTCTCAGCACTTCATGGCCGGGCTGGGCCTGGGGAACCAGGAGACTGTGCTAACAGCAGGCTGGGAAGTGGACAGGAGGCAGGGAGATGGGGTATCCCTTTTGGGGTCAGTGTGAGGAAGCAGAAGGTGGAGAAGAGAGGAGTATCTGCACTCTGCCCACCTCTTCCTTCCCAAGTGGCCGAAACCTTGGAGACAGGAGGAAGCAAGGACAGAGGAGGCAGCTGAGAGCACGAGCCTGTGGGCCTATCCCGGGTCACAGGTGAATGGCCCTGGCTGAGGACAGACTGGGAGAGGCAGGACCCCAGGGACTGGAAGTCGCACCAGAAGTCAGGATGGGGCTGGGGCAGAAGACAGGCTGAGCTCCAGGAACAGTGGCTGTACTCCTGCCTGGGCTGCCAGCTGTGGATAGGGAGCAGTGAGGGAGAGAGGACCGTGGCCAGGGGCTACTCTCTCCACAGCCATTACTGCGGGACATGAGCTTTGTCCTGGTCCCGAAAGCCTCGAGAAAGGGAACAAGCCCTGAGCTGCTGCGAGAAGCCCTGAGCAGGTGTGAGAAGCAGCTGCAATGACAAAGCCAGGGCCCTGGATGGAAACGATACCCCGCTATCTGCTGGCCTCCTTCATCTCCAGGCAGACGGCCCAGAGCTGGGAGTGCCCACCCCAGCGCTGGTCTCCAGGGAGTACACTGCCCTACATGAGTTCCTCAGGGTCAGTGGGACCCCGCTCGGTCAGACCCCAGGTTCAGACCTCTTCTTCCTCTCCCGGAGGGTCCGCTGAACCTCCCTGTCGAAGGCGACCTTCTCCTCCTCGGTCAGGGCATCGTACTCCTCCTCGTCCATGTTCTGCAGGCGTTCCTTGTCTTTCAGCACAGCCTCCCTGCGCTTGTACTCTGAGGGGGGACAGAGGGAGTGTGGGAAGACGTCACAGCCAGCTCGGGCTGGGGGCCCCTCTGACTGAGCTTTTTTCCTGGCCAGGCAGAGTGAGGGCAGCCCTCAACTGGTATCCAGTTCCTGCAGAATTTCTCACCTATGGGCTTAGACACTGCAGGCTTAGACAAAACCCATGAGAAAGGACGGGACTCATGCTATGTTCTCCTGGGGCTGGTGACGTGATGAGGGGCGCAGTGTGACGGTGATGACAGGAATGTCGGCCTTGGCCTACAGAAGGGCGGGGTTCATCCCTCCCAAGGAACCCTCCTAGCAAGGCCCTTAGGTCATGGCTTCCTCACGGTTCACAGACAAGTGTGACTGTGGTCACCTCACAGGGAACTGGCGAGGCACCAGCAGGACAGTGGACGCGAACAGTTCACCTAAGCCCACAGAAACCCGGGGGAGCCCACCAAGGCAGGAGCGGGGTCTTGCCTTCTTGCTCCTTCTTGGTCTTCTCCTGGGCCTTCATGGCTGCGTAGTCCTGGGCCATGTTGATGACGTAGATGTGCTCCCGATTGCCAATGGCCTTCAGCAGGCAGAGGAGGGCGGAAGGCCCGTTCCGAGCGAAGAGCGTCTCGAGGCCATCGAATATCACCCCCCGGAAGCAGTCATTCAGCTGAAACCAGAGCCGGTGCGTCAGCCCGTTCTCTACAGGGGAGCCCCTCTCGTTGGTGCTGCAGTGAGCTCTGCAACCCCCCATGAAGACACCATTCACGTTCTCTACAGGGGAGCCCCTCTCGTTGGTGCTGCAGTGAGCTCTGCAACCCCCCCATGAAGGGTCCCCGTGAAGACACCATTCACGTTCTCTACGGGGGAGCCCCTCTCGTTGGTGCTGCAGTGGGCTCTGCAGCCCCCCCCCGTGAAGGGTCCCCGTGAAGACACCATTCACGTTCTCTACGGGGGAGCCCCTCTCGTTGGTGCTGCAGTCGGCTCTGCAGCTCCCTCCGTGAAGGGTCCCCGTGAAGACACCGTTCAACTGCCCTCTGCCAGCCGCAGGCACAGGGAGTGAAGGCGAAAAGCAAAGGTGTCCCCAGCGCGATGGGCCGTTTGTATTTGTCTTGGTGGCTTTGTAGACTATGAACATATAGAAACATGGGCTACTGAAGAATAACCTTCGTGGAACTGCAGTGCTGCTGAACACGGGGCCCACTGTCCTGTCACCACTGGGTCAGAAACCTCATGCTCCCAGTTATGGACGGGAGAGGGAGCTCAGGTCAGAATGTAAACTGACGACAACATGAAACAAACTGTTGAGTTCTGCGGACAATTGCTTTGTCCAGACTTTGTCACTGAAGGAAGCCATACAAGCTTCCTTACTGCATCCGAGGCCAGCACTGAGAAGTGCAGCTCCCAGGGCCGGCTGTGGGCTCAAGCGACTGTTGCACAGCCTTTAATCTGACTGCATGCAACACGCACACACTTTCCAGAGCTCCTCACTCAGGAGAAAGACATTTCCTCTCCTCTGCAAATGTAGTCAAAGCCATTCACACCTGGTGTGCGCACCACTTCTGCTAACTCCATTCCTTCTCTTCTGTGAGACTGACCTTTCCTTTCGTTGTATTTAAATGTACGGTCCAGATGGGGCCCAAACAAAAACCACTCTAGAATCTGGGACCAAGTCAGCTTTCTGCAAATTGTGAGCAACAGTCAGTGGTACCTTCCAAATCCTGCTGAGTGATTTATCGACAAGTGAGCAGCACAGCGTGTGTTTTAAAATGGAAAAAAACTCCAAAACCCAGTCTGACTGCATTTGCAACTGCAAAAGCAATGTCACTGTAATATTTCTCAGAAATCTGTAAAGAAGATTAAAAATCTGTAATCTGACTACCCACAGACTTACCACAATTATGGTGTACGTTAAGAGGTTCCACGATGTGAGTGGAACACGTTTATATTTTATAGAAACCCAGTTGTGCTTTACACACCATTCCTAATCTGCTTTTCCCACTTAACAATACACTGTGAATATTTTTTTCTTCAACAGTTCATAGAGGTCAAAGCTACGTTTTCAAATGGTGCCACAATATAGAATCTGACACACCACTGCACGGCCGCACCACGGCTCTTTTTTCAATGTCCAACCTCTGCTCCCAGGTCCTCTGAGATGACTGATTCTAAGTGCAGCCTGGGTCAGAATGAGTGCAATTCAAGAGGTGTTAGAAGGGCAAGTACGTGAATGACAGTGGGAGTGGGAAATAACCATCTTCTCTCTCCTGGGAGCCAGGAACCTTGAGTGGGCTGAGCTCCCCGAGGGACGGAGCCTGGGCGGTGGAGGGGACACACCTGTATTCGCTCAGCCAGGATCTGCGTGAGCAGTTCCTCAGGCAGCACGCAGCTCACCAGCCCCGTCTCCCCTCCGATGCTGCTGCTTACGCTGAGCCTGCGCTGGGCGGGCCCCAGAGGGAGAGGGCTGGAGGAGACCTGTGGAGAGGGAAGAGGACCAGGGGTCACAACCCGCTTGGCATCTCAGTAAACCCTAAACCGATGAGCCACGTGACCTCTGGAAATCATATAGCTGCCCTGGCCTCATCATTTCTACCTTCTAGAAAGAGCTGCTGTAAGCATAAAAGGGGAATTTGGTGGAAAATTTTACACACACACACACACACACACACACACACACACACACATCATTACTGTTCTATATCACTGAGTCAGAACCGACTCACAGGGTTCAGATTTGTTGTTTACAGGGTTGCCGGATACTCAACTTGACATCACCTAACAGCAACTTTTTTTACTTACACACACACACACACACACACACACACGCACGCGGCAGATCTCAGATTATTTTGAACTTCATTTCATTGTGCTTTACAGGGTCTGTAGATCAGGCTTGGCGGATTTAGAGGGATGCATGACCCTTCAATTTCTATGTGAAAAAGATCATCAGAGAGGCTGGGCTCTAAGAGGAGGAATGTGGCATCAGGATTGGAGGAAGACTCAGCAACAACCTACATTATGAAAATGACATAGCCTTGCTTGGTGAAACTGAGGTGGGCCTGAAGCAGTTGCTGCGGAAGGTTGAGGACTGCAGCCTTTAAAACAGATTGAAGCTCAGCATCAAGAAAACAAAGATTATCATTACTGGGCCACTAGCAGCATCATGATAGATGGTGAAGAGATTGTTAATAGCTTCAGCTTGCTTGGCTCTATGATCAACACTCGTGGTACAAGCAGCCAGGAAATCAAAAGACAAATTTCATTGAAAAAAAAAATTTCATTGAAAAATTCTGTCAGGGACCTCTCCAAAGTACTGAAGAGCAACAATGTCAGTCTGAAGACTAAGGTGCACCTGATCCAGGCTATGGCTTTTCCAATTACTTTCTGTGCATCAGAAAGCTGGACAATGACTAACGATGATAGGAGAAGAATTGTAGCCTTTGATCTGTGGTGCTAGAGAAGAGTACTGAATACAATATGGACTGCTAGGAGAATAAATAGGTTCACCTTGGAGAGAGTGAAACCAGGCTGCTCTTTGGAGGCAAGACTTCTGAACCTTCATCTAACATACTTTGGGCATGCTGCAAGGAGAGACCAGTCCTTGGAGAGGAATGTCATGCTTGGGAGGGTGGAGGGCCAGCACAAGAGAGGAAAACCCTGGATGAGATGGACTGCTTTAGTGACTGGGGTAATGGGGCAATGAGAGACAATGAGGTTGGCTCAGGATAGAGCAGGGTTCACAGTTGTTATATATAGGGTCGCAATGATATGCAAGCAACTTGACAGCGCTTAACAACAACATACAGGAGGCAAGCGGGAAGAGAGTGAGATTTGAGTCAGGGCCAGAATACACAGGGCCTTGGAGGCCATGGTGAAGAATTTAGACAGTATTCCAAGGCTTATAGCAAGTCGCTGGTGGATTTTAGGCAGACAAATGATGTAATTTGATCTTCAAAAGCCCCTTCTCCCTGCCACATGAGGCAACATGAGCAGAAGCAGGAAGACTAGTTAGGAAGAGATTTCTCTGGTTAAGGCAATGGCAGTGGTGGCAGGATGAGGTTGGTGGTGGAAGCGGAGAAGTGGGTGATCCAGGGTGACTGTAAGTGGAGTCAATAAGATATGGGAGAGGACAAGAGGAAGAGGAGGGCATCAGGGTGACTCCCAGCGCCACTTGAGCAATGAAGAGAATGGTGAGGCTGCTTCCCAAGACAAGGGCAGGATTTTCCATTGTCTGTTGTTGGCTTCTGGGGGAAAAGAGGAGCTACTCTTTGAACCTACAAAATGTTGATATGCCTCTAAACTAGCAGGTTAGGAGGGCCTTGCAGGCCTGCAGGAAAGCAGGGTACCTCAGGTCTGCAGGGTGCTCCCTGGGCTGCAGGAGGACAGGGTCAAGGAGGGCACCACAGGCCTGCAGGGTGCTCCCTCGGCCGCAGGAGGACAGGGTCAAGGAGGGCACCACAGGCCTGCAGGGTACTCCCTGGGCCGCAGGAGGACAGGGTCAAGGAGGGCACCACAGGCCTGCAGGGTACTCCCTGGGCCGCAGGAGGACAGGGTGAAGGAGGGCACCACAGGCCTGCAGGG